AATAAAAATTCATATTTGTTTTGGTACTACCTCGTCCTAAGTAGAAATTAGAACTATAGGGAATGAAAAATGATAGTTTTATTTTGGGCCTTGAGAACCCAATAGGAATAATTTCCCTGTAGTACATAGCTTTCTTTTCTTTTTGGGCCACTCTTTTGGGCTTAGCCAAACTAAAACAGTTACGTTTCTCAAACCAAATGAAACTGGTTTTCAAATTGGAACAGTTTCAATCCATTGGTAACTGGTAAAAGATTCCTTTTACTTTTCAACTTCTTGGAAGTTGAAACTCCTTTACTCTCACCGTTCCAACTACCCACTTAATGGAACCCGTGAACCTCCTCCTCCCCTATTTAAATCAAGATATGCCAATCCATTTCCATCACAAACAACTCTCAAAATATGAAAGTCTTCAAGTTCACTGTCTGAGAAAAACACCAAGAAAATATCCTCAATGGAGAAATTTCTCTTTCTCACCCTCATAGACGGCAATGGAGAAAAGCCTAGTGAGAAAGGAAAGTAATTCAAAGTTTATGGTGCAATTCTCGGCAGTAGAGAAAGTTTATGGTGTAATTCTTGTATTTTTCAGGATTATACCATACACTTTCTCTGGAACAACACTCTCTCTATTTTTTTTCTTTTTATTTTTACCTTGATCTCTTTCCCCTCCCCTTTCCTTTCTTTACTTTTTCTAAATCTTTTTTTTAGCAGTCCCCCCAATTTTCTTACAAGTTTTTTTTGGGTGGTACCTCTGCTCCCTTCTCTCAAGGAGTTCTTAAAATTTTTTCTAGAACTCTTTTTCAAAATTTCTTTTAAAATTTTTTTTTTCATCTTTAAAAACTTTATTTTATCTTTTTCACAATCAATTCTCTTTTCCAAAACCTTTTCCTTTCTTGTCATTTTATCTCTCTTTTGTTTTCTTATTTCATTTTTTTTATTTTTATTTTTTTGAGAGATGTGTTGCTTCCTAGATCTTGGTTATCCACTTTGGATAATAAAGATCTATCAAACGCAACGCCAACCGCTCTGCCAAGCAGAATCTGCTGGAGCTGAAAACGGTCAATGGCGGAAGATATCACAAAATCTCAAGACAAGACTTGGTTTAGGAACTATTGTAATTTGAATTGTATCTGTTTAAGAGTTTTTGTTAACAAGCTGTATATTATGAGAAACTAAAAGAAAGTTATAAAATTAGTTCTCAGTACAGCGACCGGAACTCTTAAACACTTGTCTGTCATCATCAAGAAAGGGGAAATTGTTGGGAAAAATATTATAGATTTTGATGATGATGTATTTAGAATGTATTAGGGACTTTAGATCTCCCCCAATATTCAATGTAATTTTTCTTTTTAGAAATACTGTCAAAACCGAGCACTTGAGATTTCCAATAAAAGCTATGATATTTCTTTAAGCGTTTTGATGCCTGAAGACTTAATCAAATTCAGTGATATGGAAATCGGATATCTTGTTCGGAAATGTCAGAGACAAGTAAGGATTTTCTCAAGCAAACGAAAATCCTCTGATCCGGAAGACTACATAAGAACCGGATGTCTCGCTACAACCCGCTGAAGTCTAAGTCATCCAAATCGGAAGACTAGCGCGGATCTCCTTCTCACCCGGAAGTCTGAAAATGACTCATCCGGATTTGTCAGCTAAGAATCGGAAGACTCACTGAAGACCGGAATTCTCAGAAAGCGGACAAGTGAGAAAAGACTTAGAAAAATTATCTAAGTCCTGAATGAAGAAATTCTACTCGTTGGTAAGGAAAAATCAATCTCTTGATTTTCAACGGCTATATTGAAGATAATTATGCTGATTCAAGAACA